CCGCCACCTGGTCGGGTGGGAACTTGTGGAGGTCTTTGGTTTGATGATCTGCGACCCTAGGGATGCCAAGACGGTGGTCTCGTCGGGGAACTTGGGTTTGTTGGGTCTAGTCCCACATCAGTAATTGATGATGGGGGAGCACGACTTAAAACGTGGGGGCAGTCCTCACTCATCAAACTAGTCTTTTGGGTTGTGTAGGCCTAGGACCTAAGGTTGTTGCTCTGGTTGGGCCTGTCATGGAGCAGGCCCAATGTGACCTGGGTGGCCCACGGTTGGTGGGCTGGGCTGCGCACTCTAACAAGTGCTATCAGAGCCCAGGTTTGTGACCTGGAACAATTTCCATGGGTCGCATCGTGGGGAGGCCAGTAATAAGTCTGTGAGGTTACATGGGTTGATGTGACGGGGGAGATTGTTTAGCCTGATGTGTGCCGGGAGATATTGTTGGGTTTAGTCCCACATTGGTAATTGATGATGAGGGAGCACGACTTAAAAGTTGGGGGCAGTCCTCACCCATCAGAATATTCTTTTGAGTTGTGTAGGCTCAGGACCTAAAGTTGTGGCTCTGGTTGGGCCTGTCGTGGAGCAGGCCCAATGTGACTTGGGTGGCCCACGGTTTGTGGGCTGGGCTACACACTCTAACAGGGTTGGGGAACATTTATTCCCAAACTATTCCCGACCACGTCAAGGTGCCCATTGTTTTCGTGAAGGGCTTGTCGGAGGGAGGTGAGGTTGTCCTTCGACTTGGCTAGCTTGTCCTCGTGTCCTCAGCGTTGCGCATCATTTCCGGCTACCACCTCGCTTAGCCTGGCGTTGTCGGCGTGCTCCTTTTTTAGTTGGGCTTCAAACGCCACGACAAGATCATTGGCCGATGACACGGCCTTCCCAAACCAACTGACTTCGGCCACGATATCCTAGGCGCTAGCCTCCGGTTATCGACAAGCTTCGAGTTGCTTGTCGGAGGCCGAGGATGAGCTCGGGACAACAAGGGCTCCGGCTGGTGGAAGAGGCGCCGTTGAAACAATGACCTCACTGGTGGGAGATTGGGAGCTCACATCTTCACGGGCCCTGGTGCTTTGCCCGGGGCCAGATGAGTGTGGCTGCATTCAAAACATTATGGGGTTACAAAAAGATAGGAGACGTTAGGCCGAGAACAAAAAGGCAAGCTTAGGCATCTACCCAACTTTTTGCTTCTTCAACAGCAGTCCCCTCTTGGTCACGCCCGACTTCATGCTGGACGTAGTCTGTAGAAGAAAAGGGTTATCGCGGTTGTTAGATAAGCCATGGGTAAAAACCTCACCTCAAACCGCTTATCCTGACCAGTGTCTCTGCGCCGGTAGGGTTTGCAATTGTAGTGCACCATTTCCTCTTAGATCATCTTCCCTGCGAAGAGAGGGTAGCAGCCGCCTGATCCGTCACGGCTTGCTCCTTTAAGGAAGCAGACGCCTGATGATTGACAAGTGGCCCAATAACGTCAGACAAAGGCCATTCCCACAAGAGTAAAGATTACTCCTACGACCACGAGTACTATTTGCAAAAAGGATGATTCAAATTACTTATGTTCACGACAGCATCCTTCTCGGTTTGTAGGAGGTCGCAAACCGTTGTTGGGATGTTATCAACGGCTGATGGCGGATCGACCACCACCTGTACAACGCACTTCGCCACTGCTGTCCGAGAGAGGCCTACAAGGAAAGCAATAATGAAAGGTCAGATGTTAGAAAAAGTCCAGAATATTCTGGTTGTTAGATAACTTCAGGATATGTACCAAATCGCATTATCCTCGTCGTGTCTTCTGCCCTCGTGTACTCAAACGTAGGATGAGCACAAGCCTGAAGAGGACGGATCCAAGAACAGGTGAAGTCGCAAACGACTTCGTACCCGGTCAAGCCATGTTCTCGGAGGTTGTGGATTTTGTCAATGAAACCCTTCAATGTGGGGGTTAGAACAGGTTTAGCAGTCCAGCACCAGGAATGCGGAGGTTGCTCTTCAGGGACGACAAGGCATGGAGAGGTATCGGCATCATGAAGGTAAAACCAGTTGTCCCTCCAGTATTTCCTCGAGGACGTGCAGTTGAAAGGATTGTATTCTCCTCTCATCTTGTTCCTGAGGTGGAGACCACAATATCCAAAAACCTTATAAGACTTCATCTATCTAAGTTCGTAGAAGTCTCTTAACAAATCTAGGAAATGTTGTACCCCAAGGTACGCCTTGCATGAATGGGTAAAGATGCTTAAGACGGTGATGGAATTGAGGTCTAGGTGGAGAAGATGGATGTCATAGAAATCATGAAGAAGCGAAAAAATTCAGAAGGAGGAAGAAAACCGCATTCAACAAAAGATGAAAAGGGTCAATTAGGACTAGAGGGGGGTGAATAGGCTAATTTAAAACTTTATGCGCAAGATAAAACTGAGTTAGGGTCGGAAAGTCTGATCCACAGTCAGACTATCCGAAAATATAAGATAGTCTGATGTTGGATCAGACTGTCTGATCCACTAATATGATACACCAAGCAAATCTAGCACACAATCAAAAGTATAGCGCAAACAGCGACTAGATCTATAGCAGCACAATTAAGCAAAGCTAAAGAGAGGATGAAGAGATATCACCAACGATGAAGTTCACGGAGTTGTTCCCGGAGTTCAAATCCTTGAGGGGATTCTACTCTCCATTGAGGAGCTCACTAAGAGCCGAGTCTTGCTAACCCTTTCCTCAAGAGGTTGCACTAAGCACTCCTCCTTCTACTAAGGGGTATCTCTTTCCTTGCGGAGGCGAGATCCGGCCTTCATAAACTTCTCCCGGCCAACCACATGTAGATCGGTGGCTCGGGAGTGACACCTAGCCGTCTAGGAGTCCTCAACCTCCAAGAGTAACAAACACCACACAACTCTTGGTCAAACCCTAGTGCTCAAGATCGAGTGAAACACACACTAGGCCCTCAAACACCAAATCCACAACCACCAAGATCCACCACACAAAGAACGAGGAGGGATTTGAGAGAGGGAGAAAGAGCTCAAAAATCCAAAGCACCTTAGCACCAAGCTCAACCCAAAGTGAATGTGAAAGAATGAGTTGGGTGAGCCTTCATCTTGTAAAGCAAATTCCTTGTATAGGCAAGGACGTTGCTAGCATCACCTTTCTTAGGATTGAGAGTTTTGCGCAAAAGCTTGTTGAGATAGGCATAGAAGGGAAGGAGACCTTTGATGGCGCCTAACTCATAGTCCACATCTTGGTACAAGAAGTGAAGATAATTTGTGTCCATGGGCTTCTCATCATGAATCTTGACACGATTGGTGCGAGAGCGAGCCGGAAACCCCAAAATGGCAGCAAACCTGGCATACGTTACTGAGTATATGATGCCATCTGTCATCCAATGAATAGTCTTTTCTTTGTTTGGCTCAAAGTAAACGGTGGCATAGAATTGTGCGATGATCTCTTTGCACCGTGGGTATTGCAAGCCCATGAGTTCCTTCAAGTTTTGTTGAGGTGAGTATGGAGACGAGAACTCATGCTTGATGCCTTCTTCATCAAGGAAACTCTCGATGCACGTGTTCTTAAACTCCTTGCCGTAGTCGCTTCGAATGTTCTTGATCTTGAGGTCAAACTCGTTTTGGGCTCTTCTTGCAAACTTCTTGAAGAGGGCTTGTGTCTCACTCTTGTCATGCAAGAAGAACACCCACGTGAAGCGTGAAAAGTCATCAACAATAACAAGACCATATTTGTTACCTCCAACGCTTAGATAAGCAATTGGCCCGAAGAGCTCCATGTGAAGAAGCTCCAACGGTCTTGTAGTAGCCATTACGTTCTTGACCGGGTGATGTGCTCCAATTTGTTTCCCGGCTTGACATGCACTACACACCCTATCTTTCTCAAATTGAACATTTGTTAGTCCAAGGATGTGAAGATTTGTAAAGATTCCTCATACCAACATGGGCTAGCCTCTGATGCTAAAGCAATCCTGTGTTGGACTTAGCCACTAAGCATGTCTCATGTTTGACTTCAGTTGAGGAAAAATACACAAGATAAAGCTTTCCCTTGAGAACACCCTAAAAGACTACCGAGAAATCATTCCTTCTAAATACGGTCACATCAACATCGGTAAAAAGACAATTGAATCCCATGGAACATAATTGAGAAACGGACAATAGATTGTAATTTAGAGATTTTACCAAGAGGACGTTGGAAATGGAAAGGTCATTTGAAATTGCAATCTTACCCAATCCAATTATCTTTCCCTTTCCATCATCCCCGAAGATGATGTTCTCTTGAGAAGTGCCATTTGGATCAAGAGATGAAAACATTGATTCTTCTCTGGTCATATGATTAGTGCATCCACTATCAATCACCCAACTTCTTCCACCGGAGAGATATTCCTACAAGAGTTCAATTTCTAGTTTTAGGTACCCATACTTGCTTGGGTCCTCTCATGTTAGTGACAAGTGCCATAGGCACCCAAAGTACTCTCTTGATGGAAACATTTTTGCCCCTTGGGCCAACATATTTAGCAACTACACGACCATTAGCATTCTTCCTAAGAACATAAGATGCATCAAAAGAACAATGTGAAGCATAATCATTAGGAATGATACTTTTGGCCTTAACAAAGTTGCTAGACCTTGGGGCTTCTTGATCAACACACTCTTGTCCACCTTTCCTTTTGGTGGAGGAACATACCCAAGGCCTTCATGGTTGAAGTTGTCCCTTTGATAACCTAAGTACTCCTTTAGGGCCTTACTACCTGTATGGCACTTAAGCAAGCCATTGTGAAGGAGTCCCATAAGCTTCTCATTTTGCTTTTGCAAGGCATTCAAGGAAGTAGAGTTAGTAGCACAAGCATCAATATCAATATCCTTACACCTAGCACATGGTTCATTGCTTGGAACAATTTTGGAACAAGGTGCCTTGCTAGGGAGAGAGACACTATTCTTTAAGGTTTCGAACTTCTCTTCAAGAGAGAGATAAGTTTTGTCCAAGCCATCCACTCTCTCTTAGTTGAGCATTCGTCACCTCAAGATTAGCGTGAGACTCTTTGGTTTGCTTGTAAAGCCGTACCAAAGCCTCATTTTTTCTCTCTCCTTAGCAAGCTCACCCTTGAGTTCATGAGACCGCTCTTTCTCACGAATGAGTAATGCCTCTTGCCTCTCAAGGGTTGCATATTGATCCTCAATTCTCCCAAGCAACTCACTCAAGTGTGGCAGAGACTCCTTGGTTATGGACTTGAACAACTCCTCATCCATAACCTCATCCTCAACATCATCCTCCTCATCACTAACAAGATCAACATTAAATGACTTGAGGGGAGAGGGTACCTTAGTCTCCTTTGCCATGAGGCAAATGGGAGCATCCTCATCACTTGAGTAGTTGAAGAGTCTCGGTGGTGATGAAGGCTTGACGGTGAACGTGGCAACTCCTTCTTCATCACTTGAGCTTGACTCGGAGTCGAAGCCGAAGATCATCCCAAGGTGAGCTTGGCCATAGCGATCATGCTTGCTATGCTTGTGCTTCTCTTTCTTCTCAAGCTTCTTCTTGTCTTCCTTGAGGTGGGGGCAATCCTTGATGTGGGGGCAATCCGCAATGAAGTGCCCGGGCTTTTTGCACACATAGCACACCCTTGCGGAGTGTCTTCCACTTGACTTGTTGGAGGAATACTTGGACGAACTTCCCTTGGCGAAGCCACTTTGCTTCATGAACTTGCCGAACTTCTTGACGAAGAGAGCCATCTCTTCATCATCGATCTCCGCCTTGCTCTTACTCTTGCAACTCTCTTCTTCTTCTTCCTTTGCCTTCAATGCCAAGTCTTCCTTCTTGATGCTTGTGGTTGAGGTTTGGTTGATATATTGGATGACCTCCTTGGACTCTTGCTCGAGCATGTCATGGGCAAGGATACACCCGTGCAAGTCATGAGGTGTAAGAGTCTTGTAGTCCGGACGCTCACGAATGATGGTCACCAAGGTAGAGTTCCTTGGAGTGATTGCCTGAACCATCTTCTTGACCACAACCTCATCGGTCATGTCCTTGGAGCCAAGTCGCTTGATCTCATTAACGATCTTGCTCAATCGATCATACATGTCGCTTGGGCTCTCACCATCCAACATCACAAACCGTTCAAACTGCCCCTTGAGAATCTCCACCTTGGACTCGCTAGCACTATCCGTGCCTTCATGCAAATTCCTAAGCGTGTCCCAAATCACTTTGGCACTCTCAATGCCGTCCACACGGTTGAACTCACTTCCACTGAAGGCGCTAAGAATTGCATTAGCGGCTTGAGCGTTCTTGTGCTCGTTCTCATCGTCCTCCTTGGTGGGATCCTCGGGATTCTGCAAAACATAGCCTTTTTCGACTATTCTCCAAATCAAAGGGTTAATAGATTTCAAATGCATCTTCATCTTATGTTTTCAAGCGGCATAGTCCGTACCGTTGAAGTAGATGTGGATGGATAGTCATAAGGAAACGTAGCTCCCTTATCATCATCTTTGCCATCCCCCGTTTGGCCCGACATAATCTCTCCAAGCGGTTAAGCCTAATTAGGAGATTAGGCTCTGATACCAATTGAAAGTGTTAATTAGGCCTAGAGGGGGGGTGAATAGGCTAATTTAAAACTAAATGCGGAAGCTAAAACTGAATTAAGATCGGAAAGTCTGATCCATAGTTAGACTATCCGAAAATATCAGATAGTCTGATGTTGGATCAGACTGTCTGATCCACAAAGAAGTCACAACAAGCAGATCTAGCACACAAACAAGAGTATAGCGCAAACAACAACTAGATCTATAGCGGCACAATTAAGCAATGCTAAAGAGAGGATGAAGAGATATCACCAACGATGAAGTTTACGGAGTTGTTCCCGGAGTTCAAATCCTTGAGGGGATTCTACTCTCCATTGAGGAGCTCACTAAGAGCCGGGTCTTTGCTAACCCTTTCCTCTAGAGGTTGCACTAAGCACTCCTTGCACTAAGGGGTATCTCTTTCCTTGCGGAGGTGAGATCCGGCCTTCACAAACTTCTCCCGGCCAACCACACGTAGATCGGTGGCTCGGGAGTGACACCTAGCCGTCTAGGAGTCCTCAACCTCCAAGAGTAACAAACACCACACAACTCTTGGTCAAACCCTAGTGCTCAAGATCGAGTGAAACACACACTAGGCCCTCAAACACCAAATCCACAACCACCAAGATCCACCACACAAAGAACGAGGAGGGATTTGAGAGAGGGAGAAAGAGCTCAAAGATCCAAAGCACCTTAGCACCAAGCTCAACCCAAAGTGAATGTGAAAGAATGAGTTGGGTAACCCTAGAAAAGAGTTAGGTGGGGGGTATTTATAGATCCCCCCAAAATGTGGCCGTTGGGAAGGGAATCTTTTCATCCCACCTCGGAAAGTCCGAGATGACATCGGATAGTCCGATGTTTTTGAGTCCCAAACAACCCAGAGACAGAGGACAAAGTTCTGATGAATTTCGGACTGTCTGACATGTCGGATAGTCCGAAGTCATGTCGGATAGTCCGATATTTTTGAGGCAAGAACTTCATCCTCGCAGAGACTCAAGTTCCATAGAATTTCGGAGTCTCTGTATCATCGGATATTCTGATCACATCGGATAGTCTGATCTGAAAAATCACTCAACAGAAAATAAAAAGCATTTCAAGACAGAGAGTGAAGTTCTGAGAGATTTTAGACATTCCGATGCATCGGACAATCTGACCTTATATCGGATAGTCCGATATTTTTTAGCCAACACTCAGACCAAAAACAGAGGGCAAAGTTCTGTGAAATTTTGGATAGTCTGACCATCGGATAGTCTGATCAGGATCGGATAGTCTGACAGGAATAAAACAAGAACACTTCAAATAAAGGATTTTGAGCACTAGTGTTCTACCAATTATATGCATGTGGTGTCCCTCTTAATAGTACGACATCCTAATACTCAAGAACACAGGATACACAAGGTTTAGAGAGGTGATTACCACAAAAATTGCCACAAAGCTTTCTATGCTTAAGTTCCACTCATTTTTCATCCTTGCAAACATCTCAACAAAAAGCATTAGTTACCTTCTAATTGGGTTGTCATTAACACCAAAATAAATGAGGGGTCCTAGATGCACTTTCACATTTGCCCGAGGCTAGGCATAGGATCAATACCTCATTCCGAGCACCATTTCACCTGCTGGCTTGGCAGCATGCCCTCAAGCTGCAGCTTTGCCAGTGCATCGATGTCGACGACAAATTGTGGGAGATCCATGAATATTGTTGGGAGATGGAAGTGGCAGAGTTGTGGTTTAGGTTTTTTGGGTTGCTGGAGCAAGGAGAAGGTGCGCGAAGGAAAGGCAAAATAATTGTGTAAGCAACCATAACCGAAATAGACCTCATAAGTGGAATTTATAACTCACCCAACGGTTCGAATTTCCAAGAAGACGGAGAAATTGCTGTCGGGATTTTTGCTGATTTGTTTATGGAAGTTTAAATTTTCTGACTTCAATACAAATTCAAATTCACGTGGAGTTCACGGATCAAGAGAAAAGGACCTTGTTGCATACTCTGTATCTTCTCAATTGTCCTCTGTTTTTTCTATTCAGGATCATTGACATATTCAGTTCTATTCAAGTCGGGGACTACTATTAGTGTCATTCCTTCTATAAATGGATTGATGCAATACGGCAATACCATAAACCCGTTTGTATATGAGAAAATAACCTTAAATTAAGGAAATTAAAATCTAAAAAAACTCTAAGCACAGAATTTTTGATAGTTCAGCTAAAACATGCCCTCACTGTTTGGATTGTAATCCTTAAACCACTTAACAAAATATAGCAAATAAACTCATCTAGAGCATCTACAGAAAACTATATACAACATTCATGTTGAGTAAAAACTCTAATTTTGTATATATTGGTGTCAGCAACACTGTTTCCATTGTTTCTCCTAAGCCGTTTATCTCAACTAAACAAAACTAGAACAGTTACAAAGATATTTAAAATTGGCCACAACTTTCATTACGCCTGACAAAATAATCCCAGATTTTAAGATAAGCTATCAGCCTACTGATCGAAAAACTAAATTTGAACCAACTAGACTTGATTTTTACTTGAAACTAGGAAGGTAGCATGCATTATAGATTGCGTTTGAGAAACTTGTGTTGGTGGAATATTTCAAAAGTACTATTTATTAGTAAATTTTCTTCATTGGCATTTCTTACAATATATTTCCAAGATATTTGTTTGCTTTTTAAAATTATCTACGAACTCTTTATTAAGAGATTTATTTTTTTTGGAAAAACGTGTCTAACAAATTAATTGTAAATTAAAAGTAGCCAACTCTGTGAAGCGCTTCCATCTCCAGCCCATGCCTCCAACCGTGCGGACGCTGTCTCCTCCACCTCCTACACCTTATGCCCCACTCTCCCTCGCAAACTCGTGCGACGTAGAGACGCACGTTGCCCACAACGCCACACCCGTCTCCGCCGGCCGTTGCCGCATGATTCTACCTCTCCTCGGCCTTCCCACCACCTCTTAGTATATAAAAATGTTCCATGGGCTACCTCTCTCATTTTCTGCTCTTTGCCCGAGCTTCCCGCACCCTCTATCACTCTCCCCACACTGCTCCCTTGAACTGACGCTCGCCGGAGTGCTCCAACCGCATGCCGCCGTTGTCCTAGCCGTAGCCGCTGCCGCCGCCGCACCGTGCAGACACCGCTACTAGCCTCGCTGCCACAAGAGGATCCCCGTCCACCACTCCATTTCCTACAATTGTCGTCGGGTCGCCCTTTTCCCCACACTCCCAAGCCACCGCCATTGCTACCACCAGCCGCTCGCCACTAGCGATTAAGGCCACGCCGATCCTCTCCAACCCCTCCCACGACTCAGCAGTGTTGAACTGCACCTTAGCCGCCCCTTCATCGTCCCCAATTGACGTCGGGAATCCATCCGCTTCCCGTGAGGTGAGCTCCGCCACCCCTCGTCGCCTCCGGCTGCCCTTTCTCGCCATGTTTGGCCACACTGCGCTCCCCTAACCTCTCCACCCTCTTCCCCAGGTCCCAAAGGGTGTCGGCCTCCTCTCACCGTCCGTTGAATGCCGCCGGACCGTCGTCTCCTCCATCAACCCATTCTCGCCACTGCCATCTCCCTGTCGCTAAGCCATTACCCGTCGCTCGTGCGCCCTCAGTGAGAAACGCATCCCTCTCTTTCCTTTGACACCCTCTACATGCCCTCTCGCGCCGCCTCCACTCTCCGCCGGTGGGCCTTAGGGCCATGGGCGCCTACGCCGCGCCACAGTCCGCTCGGCTGGGCCGACGAGCTGGCCCCTTTCCCAACAACCGCCCGATTTCCTTCAAGGAGATCTAGGCCATCCACGTGGCGCATGCCATGGTAGTCAGTGGCTCTGCCGCATTGGCGTGTCCATCCACCGTGGCTACCTTGGCGCGTGCACTCGTCCCTCCTGAGTTACCAATGTATGGGGCCCACTAGTAGGCATTGCTCTACCACGGCTGACATCATGAATCGTGATAATTACGCAATAAATCAAGTTTAATCCAGGTATTCATTTAAATGGCTCAAAACTTCTAAAATTCATAACTAATTCATACGAACTCCAAATTGAGCTATTTAACTTGCGAAATTCATCTAAAATTGAAATTTTCATATACTGTTGAGATGGTTTTAATTAGAGTTATTTTACATTTTGCGTGCTAGCTTGTAGAATCCGTCGTTTCGACAGATTGTGACCGCAAGGGAAAGAGTTCGGCAGATTGATCGAAGAAGCGAGTCAAGTCACACATTCCTCCTTGAGCATGTTGAATCTTATTTGTAAAATGTTTTAGCATTTTGCAATAAATTGCATGTTTTGCTAATTGCATGTGGGAATAGGGACTACCTATCTGCTCGCTTCTGCCATGTTCACATTATATCTAATCCTTTGTCAAACATTGGTGATAACTTGACTAGCTCCTATCTCTAGCTAGAATCACGATATGCTTAGCTATGCTTAATTACCAGTAGCTCACTTAATAGGATAATCACATTATTTTATTTATTTTTCTGATGAGCTGCGATCTCGAAACATCTGGCCATGACAATTAAGAACTAAAATATGGCTTAATGGTGGGCTATAGGTGCTTGGTTTTGATTGTCACAATTAAGAACTGTTTCGCATGAAACCCTGGAAGACTTACCGCGCTTACCACAACAAGCACCTCGCTACCATTAGTACACTCCTCTACGCCTTCCAGTACTTCGAAGAACAAATTACCTTCAAAGAAGTAGAAACCAAGTGTATGCATGGATTGTCGAAGAATTATGTAAGGTTATTTTATGTGTAATGTATTTGAATAGTTACTATTATTATGTCTATTACAGGCACGATGATTTGAGGATGGTAAACCCAATTGAACTTTCAAAATCCCACTCACCGGGTATTGTAGGTAAAACACAATCACATTTACCTTTTTTTTTTAGATATATATGTGTATGTTGAATTTTGGGAAATGGGGAATTAGGAGAGGTAGAAATGTTTAATGCAAATGTTTCAAATTGAGGCTCCAACTAATTAATACATATGTGATTTTCGAAGGAATTTCAGATATGTGTATAATGTTAATGGAAATGTTTTGAACATGGGCTTTATATATAGAGATAAGTATTTGTGTACGCAAATGTTTATAACTTAATGGGGCTATGATATTGTGTAATGGAACTTTTGATTCCATTCTCGTAAGTACATAAAAATATGCTCCCGTAATTTTCTTTGCAACACATATCAATATCCTAATCATCATTAGTCAGTTAACAGTTTGAAAAGGATTAAAGGGAAGAGCACATAATGATATCTAATACACTTTGCAGTGCTGAAGCATATAGTAAAGGAAAGAAAGTACCCGGTAGAATTAATTAACCGGTATTTAGCTGTTATTACATGAAACAAAAAAAGCTGGACGTATTAAATTTAGTGCTGCAGATCAAATTTCTGTGTTCATTGAGTGCACCATGGACGATAGCTGTGCAGGCTGCCGGTTGGTGGGGCATGCACGCAAGCCAACCTATACCTCATAAATGTTGGCCCAAGTAGTTATTGGAGGCAGGATTCACCGTCCCTGCAAACTGCAGCTGCAGGGGATTGCACATCTTGCACTGAGGTACTATCTCCGTCCATATTACTTGTCTTTTTTAGTTTTTGTATGTTAATATTTATCATTCGTCTTATTTAAAAAATTTTAAAATTATTATTTATTTTGTTTGTCATTTTCTTTATTATTAAAAGTACTTTACATATGACTTATCTTTTTTTATATTTGTACTAATTTTTCAAATAAAACGAATGGTCAAACGTTACAAATAAAAAGTCAAAAACATCACCTATTATGAGACGGAGGGAGTATGGTTTAGGGGGTGTTTAGATGGGGCTAAAACTTTTTAGCCCATGTCACATCGGATGTTTGGACGCTAATTTGAAGTATTAAACATAGACTAATAAAAAAACTAATTTCATAAATGTGAGCTAATCCGCGAGACGAATTTTTTAAGCTTAATTAATCCATAATTATCAAAAGTTTACTGTAGCATCACATTGTCAAAATCATTGCGTAATTAGACTCAAAAGATTCGTCTCACGAATTAGTCCAAGGTTATGAAATGGGTTTTGTAATTAGTATATGTTTAATACTTCAAATTAGTATCCAAACATTCGATGTGATAGGGACTTAGAATAAGTCCCTGGAAGCCAAACATGTCCTTAGTTCCTAACTTTTTCTTCAAAATTTCAACTTTTCCATCACATCAAAAACTTTTCTACACACATAAAATTTCAACTTTTCCATCACATCATTCCAATTTCAATCAAACTTTTAATTTTGACGTGAACTAAACACAAGTTACAATCTTTTTCTTCAAACTTCCAACTTTTCTATCACATCAAAACTTTCCTACACACATAAACTTTTAACTTTTTCATCGCATCGTTTCAATTTTAACCACAGTTCCAATTTTAACGTTAACTAAACACACCCTTCGCATCCATGTCTCCCCGCCACTGCACTTAAAAAGAGGTCAGCAATTGACGTGAGTACCATCGTATCAATCGTCAAGGGAGCACTCATATTGTCTGATGTAGTTGGAAATTTAGTAGCCTCACTGCTGGGACTAAAAAGGTTTTTTTTTTCAATGTTTTTTTTAGTGTTTGCATATTGGTTCCAAACCGAACTCAACAACAAAATCATCCACATACATAAAAACATCACAAAATCATTCATAAATTCACAGATCAAATGAACATACTCAAATTCACATCACAAAATTACAGATCCATAGACATCACCTACAAATCAACAGAATCACGTACAAATCAACTAAATAGACATCCGCACTGCCCGAATCCGCCGGCTTGCTAGCTGCTCGCTCGCTTCCTTTAAAGGAGAGAATAAGAGAGAGGACAGAGAGATGATAAGAAAGGGTAGGGGAAAGTTAAAATGAGGAGGAGAATAAGGGAAGAGGTGTTTGCTTAAGAATAAGTGCGAGGGATTATATAATACGTGTCGATTTTAGTCTTAAAAATAATAGGGGGACAAACACTTTCTGAAGCGGGAAAAAATAATCTTTAGTCCCGTTTGATAACACTAATCGGGACTAAAGATCATCAAGTGACGGTGGACTTTTCAACCGGAGCTAAAGATGATTTTTAGTCCTTGTTCCTATTTAAATCGGGACTAATGTGGTTTTTACACCACCCAACAAAGGTCACTTTTACAGCAGTGTCCAGGTAAACATACTCTTTCTAAAAAGTCATCGACAAAGAAACTATACATAAAATATGTACTTTCGTTTGAATCTTGGGTATAAATAGATGGAAGTCCATTTTACAACAGCACCTCTTGTATGTTATCTAAATTATCATAAAATATTCTGAAAAAAAGAATCAATAACACATAGTTCCTAGTACTATGTTATGTATATAAGTACTAGTGCTAGCTTAAATTAATTCCCTGCTTAGCTATATTTCTGAAGTGCAGACTGCAGCATCAAGATAAATCCTAAGCATGCAGGTACTTGCAAATTGGTGACGTACGACGACCAAGACACGAACAGAGACCTGTGCAATAGCAATAAATAGCACACGCTCCGGCTGCATGCATGCGAGCTGGCAACCCACGACGAAATGCATGACCAGTATGCTATATCTGCACGACACACCGCACCACTTTCCTGGCAGCAACACTACCTGCACCAAACCTAGATAGTACGATGGCCAGCTGAGATCATCTTTTCTCATCTCATCCTATCTCCCATCCCATAGAATTACGAAATTAAGAGGGGAAAACAAAAGTAGAGAGAGCTAGGATGGAGATGGAGGTAAGTCTCCAACAAACAAAGGACGAGCAAACAAAGAAACTAGCTCGTTACCACTTGATTTGTTCCTCTCTCTGGTAACAGAATATATGCCATTGACTGAAATTATTTACCATGAATATATTTGTCTGGAGAAGAAGGTGATGTCCGGGTGCCACATCCCGGCGTTCGGCGCGTGGAACTACCGCGACGACGACCTGCCCATCACGCAGTGCTTCGACCTAGCCATCCAGGACCGCCTGATGAGGCGCGCCAACCGCCGCGGCGACGGCAACTGCAAACGGCGGCTCGTCGTGCCTTTCGACGCCTGGCCGCCTGCTCCGCGCGGAGCAGCTCATGGCAAGGTGATTAGGAGGGAATTGGCACAGAAGCAGTGGGATAATGTTGCCGAGGAGATGATGCAATGGAGAGCTGTTGGGGCGTACGGGACGAAGCGTAAGGTTGGCGACAAGGCTGTGGATGAGGACCTGTACAAGGTGCCGCAACCGCTGATATACCCGAAACGTAGAAAGGTACGTACAGCAGTATATACATGTTTTTAAACAACATGTATAAGATAGTGCGACATTTAGTATTGATAGAGTAGAAAAAAAATACAAGTCTATAGACCTGAAAGGTTATAGCATGGAAAAGAAAAATGCAACCACACCACGCGTTTAAAACCAGAACCCGCTATTAAAAGATAGGAAAGCAACATCCTAAAAAAAAAAATCACCTAAACGACGCTTTCAGGAAGGTACCACACCGAGAGTGCCACCGCCGCTCGTCCTAGGATTCAAGACATGGTTTTCACCTAGAGAAATCCATTAGATGATAGGAGAGATCACTCAACAACGCCCCCGGGGAAAACGAAACATGCGTGCGTCACCGTTGCTGATCCGGAGAGACTTTGCATTCGCCCGTAATCTTTTCTGCACCCCCCGTGTTGAGTCTCCTACTGGACATAGAAGTCACCACCAACCGCAATCCTTCAACGCAGCCACCACAGGAGGACTAGCGTCTAGATCAGAACCCATCGTAGGCCTGCAACGCCCAGTGCACAGCGCCAGCGTTGTCGCCGCCTTGGTCGGGCTACATGAGTCACCATAGGCCACCTGTCCGCATCGCTACCGCCTCATCCATCCTGCCGCCACCAAAGCTTCGCCCAACACGCCATGCCATGGCACGCACGTCGTCCCCGCGTCAGCCTACCCCTGTCAGCTGAACGCCTCCACGATGAGTCAGCCCTCCGGCCTCATCCCCGCTACGTGCACGGGAATTGGCCTCCCATGCTGCCGCGCCCTTCCTACCTTGTCCCGCCGCCACGCAATCGCGCCCCACTGCCACGTCACAACTGCCGGCTCAGGAACGGCCTCCCACACCAAGGAGGTCGGATCCGCACGAGAGGTAGCTGGATCTAGCTAGTGGACGCCAAATCCGGTGACGCCGCCTCGCCATCATCGCCCTGGTCGACACCACCGAACCTTGTTGTCCCTTTCGGCTCCAGCCCAGCGCCGCCATGGCCATCGCTGCCCCGGATCCAGGCGGGTCGTGGACTCCGACCCCATGACCTCGTGAGAAAGGCCTAACTGGCACCGTGCTTGTGGCCGTGCGGTTTCCGGCGGCCTAGTCGGGCGGTGGTGAGGAGAAGAAGGGATGGAGGCGGAGGTGGTGGTGCGGCGGCGAAGGTTGCCACCTGTGCATAAAATGGATTGGGACTCTATGGAGAATATCAAGGGAGTAACGTCTCTTGTTACCGCGGCAACGAGCACAAACTCAGTTGATGCGCCATATTAGTTATGTCGTCCAACCTTTGATCGTAAGACAGGCTATTTTCGGCGTGGACATAGCAGTAGCAGGAGCAAAGCACTTAAGTGATCTTTACCTGACACTGTGTAGAGTATAGTGCTTTTTACCTTTCCTTGCCGTAGGGGCTGTATTTTACTCCACTATGTTTAATGAAAAGGCACACCCTCGTGCTGTTTCCCCTTGAAAAAAAAATGTTGGCGTGCTAGGTGGAAATATATATTGTAAACACTAGCCTCATTTCCGCCGTCCATCTAACTTAATTATGTTGTGCGTTGTGTCGCAGTTAATTAATGACAATCTGCCAATTTTTCAGATGAGGAAAGTTGTCTGGAGCCTGTGGATTGGTTGCCTTGGTCTGGATTGCATTGCCTGATCAAACCCATCAAGTGCACTGTGTTTTGACTTAGAATCCAGAAAAACTTGAGGTCCGCATATCTTTGTTCCGCTCGAATTGTTCTTCCAATAAGAATTTGGTGTGCCATGTTTTGTAACATCTAATGATTTGTATTGAGAAAACGTTGCTCTTGGTTTGTTGTGACAAAAACAAAATCTTGATCTCTGGTGCCTTACCATTTTTTAGTTTTCATGTACGTACGGTTATAGGCCACCGTTCATATACAGTTTTGACATGGAAGTTTTCATAAATTTGTTTTCACGATTTTACGTTGCAGGAATATAATATTTCTGAAAATATTTAAATTTGCCTGTTGGATTGTTGGATGGTGACACAGTCGGTATCACCAATACGGTGGAGTTTGTGGCATCGTCCGTCCAATCGATGCGAATTTGTAGCTAGCCAGATAGCTGGGAAACGCGCCACGAACATGCAGCAATGCTGGAAATGAAGAACAGCCATGTTCCAAACCTGATGAGGACATCATGTCGAAACTAAATTCAGCAATATAAAAAGGGGTAGTGCACGAGGCCATCATCTCCTTTTGTCTCTTTATATAACTAACAAAAAAAAGAAACAAAAAAAAACTATCGCTACAGCCAGCCCTAGCCCTAGCTGCTCCTGCGCTCTTGCCGCCGCTGTCCTTGCGCTGCCACCACGGCCATATCTGGAGGCCGCAGCCATCGTCATCCAACACAACCGGTGTTTTGTTCCGTTTTCCTTCTTTCCGGTGAGTTCCTGCGGCTGCTCCTTCTTCTATCGTTGCCGATCTGATGGTTTGTTGCTGCTGCTGCCGTGATCTGCGGCTGGCTACTGTTGCCGCGGTCTGGTTTTTGCTTATTGCTGCTGTTACTGATGCCATGTGACTGCTGCTGCTAGGGTTGTTGCTGGTGCTGCTGCAGTGGCCCTGCTGCTGTTGCTGCTGCATGATCAGAAGAGAAGGGTAGAGAGAGGTTGTACAGCAGGGAGACACTACGCCAGATCCTCACACCTCTAACGAAATACTTATGACGGGCAAAGCAAATGATCACTGATGACCGTCACCTTTGACGGGTCATACGGGATGCCGTCATAGGTGAGGCATCTGGACGCGGCCCATCACAGGTATCACCTCACCTGTGACGGGCCGCAAGACAAAGCTGTCACAGGTGAGGCAGTAACGGGTTTTTCCTCCAACCCGTCATAGGTATGACCTTACCTGTGACGGGTCTCATCATTACAAACCGTCACAGGTGATGGGCGTCACCTGTGACGGGTTTTCATCCCAGCCCGTCACAGGTATTGACCTATCTATGATGGGCAACTCAATTGAAGCCCGTCAAATGTATGACCAATACCTTTGACGGGCTTTTTTTCCCTAACCCGTTTGAGGTGTGTTGGGTCTATAAATACCCCCCAAACCACCAACTGCTTTCCATCCCGACCAGTTCAATGTTCACAAATCGGTTTGGAGGGCAAGAGGGGCGAATTTTTGCTAAAATTCAAGGTAAAAAACACATTATTCTTCCCTTCATTCTCAATATATCGATCATCATATATTTTTCTTCCTATGTTGTTGATTTCAAATGGATCGTAGTTGGATATACCATGTTCATCGTTCGTCTACAGAGTATAGTGAGGGGGTCACTGAATTTGTCACATTTGCGGAGAATGACAGAAAAAGTAGGATGAGCATGTACATATTGTGTCCATGTAGGGACCGTAAGAATGAAAAGATGATCCTTGATAGCTCAGAAGTGCATTCTCATTTGATAATGAATGGATTCATAAAGAAATATACCTGCTGTATCAAGCATAGAGAGCAAGAGGCACCTGATGTCGCAGCTGAAGAAGTGTTGATCAGGATGTAGAGAACACCGCCGCAGCTCGAGAAGGCATGTTCATACCTTCTCCGTTAAGTGGAGAGACCATATATTTGGACACTCAATGTCTATCTACAATGTTGCATGACATTGAAGACACAGAGGACAACGGCAGAGATTTTGAGAAGTTTAGTAAGTTGGTGGAATATTGTCAGATGCCCTTGTATGATGGTTCAAGTCAAAGCACAGCAAGTTGTCATGCGTGTTGAAACTCATGAAGCTTAAGACTAGTAATGGCTGGTCCGACAAGAGTTTTACAGAACTTCTTGAGCTGTTAAAGGACCTGTTGCCAAAGGGGAACAATTTACCGCAGACGACATATGAAGCGAAGTAAGTATTATGTCCGTTGGGCCTGGAGGTTAGAAGAATTCATGCTTGTCCGAATGACTGCATTTTGTATTAAAAGGAAAACGCTGACTTGAATGTCTGCCCTGTCTGTGGGGCATCTAGATATAAACGAGCAAAGAGTGAAAGTGAAGGAAGTAAGCCAAAGATGGGAGGCCCCGCAAAGGTGGTGTGGTATCTCCCAATTGTGGAGCGCATGAAGAGAATGTCTGCGAATAAGGAACAAGCTAAGCTAGTGCGTTTGCATGCCGAAGAACGAAAAATTGAAAGTATGCTAAGGCACCTAGCATATTCAGTATAGTGGAGGACAATCGATAGGATTTACCACGAATTCTCAAAGGACCCAAGAAACATGCGTTTCGCCATGTGTACGGACGACATTAATCCATTTGGTGATTTTAGCAGTCGTCACAGTACATGGCCAGTTCTGCTTGGTTGTGCTTCAAAAGAAAGTATATTATGCTTGCCATGCTCATTCAAGGACCAAGACAACCTGGCAATGATATCGATGTGTTCCTTGAACCGATAATCGATGACTTTGAAAGGCTATGGAATGAGGGCACACAAACATGGGACGCATATGCACAAGAGTATTTCAAGCTCCATGCGATTATGTTTTGTACCATCAACGATTATCCGGCCCTTGGCAACCTTTCTGGCCAAACTGTGAAAGGGAAATGGGCGTATTCGGAGTGTATGGAGGAAACAAGAAGCAAATGGTTGAAGCATTCATACAAGACGGTCTACATGGGTCACAGGAGATTTCTCCCAAGGTATCACCCATATAGGAATATGAGAAAGAATTTCAATGGAAACAAAGATACAACCGGACCCTCGGCAGAGCTAACAGGGACAGAGGTGCACAACTTAGTGATGGGAAAAACTAACAAGTTTGGAAAAAAGTGGAAAGTTGGAAAGACAAAAGAGAAGAGCATGTCAAAGGACAAAACATAAGAGCATGTGGAAAAACAAAAGATAATAGAGAAGAGCATGTGGAAAAAGAAGTCAATATTTTGGAGACTACCATACTGGAAGGATCTTGAAGTTCGCCACTGCATAGATTTGATGCATGTCGAGAAGAATGTATGCGAGAGTTTATAGGGATTACTGCTTAACCCAGGTACTACATAGGATGGTCTCAATGCCCGACGAGATCTGGAAGACATGGGCGTTCGCTCGGAACTACATCCCATAACCACGGAATCCGGTAGGGTGTACCTTCCTCCAGCCTGCTACACTCTCTCGAAAGAAGAGAAGATTGATTTGCTAACATGTTTGAGTGATATAAAGGTTCCATCTGGTTACTCATCACTCTCTCGAAAGAAGAGAAGATTGATTTGCTAACATGTTTGAGTGATATAAAGGTTCCATCTGGTTACTCATCAAGAATTAGTAGGTTCATTTCACTGCAAAACCTTAAATTGGTAGGAATGAATTCGCATGATGCCCGTTGTAATAAGGAATATTTTGCCTTCTATGGTGTGACACACGATCCAGCGATTGTGCTCCTTCTTCCATGCAATCGGTTAGAAGATCATTGATCCCGAGGGACTAGACGAACTACAGGCAGAAATTGTGAGAACCCTATGTCATCTTGAGATTTACTTTCCTCCAACTTTCTTTGACATAATGGAACATCTTCCCGTGCACCTTGTGAGGCAAACAAAGTGCTTTGGTTCAGCTTTCATGACGCAGATGTATCCTTGCGAAAGGTACCTGGGGATCCTTAAGGGTTATGTATGGAACCGTTCACACCCCGAGGGGACTATCATCGAGAGTTACACCACCGAAGAGGTCATCAATTTTTGTGTGGACTACATGTCAAAAACATCTTCAATTGGATTACCACGATCTCCTCACGAAGGAAGGCTTGATGGTGTTGGTACTATTGGAAGGAAGATTGTTAGGTTGGATCGGAAGGTGTATGATAAAGCTCATTTCACGGTACTGCAGCATATGACTGAGGTGGTGCTGTACGTTGACGAACACCTTGCGGTTCTACGACAGGAGAACTCGGGCCGATAAGAGAGTTGGGTCAGAAACAAGAACATGTCTTCTTTCAACGAGTAGCTGAAGAACCGAATTGCCATGTTGCAGAACTTATCTAGTGAAACACTTCAGTGGTTGTCGTAGGGTCTTGAATGGAGTGCCACCACCTGGCAAGGATATGTCATAAATGGATACACCTTTCACACGGTAAAGCAAGACAGCAAATGCACAGTGCAGAACAGTGGGTTACGCATCGAGGCTGCTAGTGACGGTGGTCGGCGTGATCAATACTATGGCAGAGTTGAGGAAATATTGGAGGTAGATTACTTGAAGTTCAAAGTCCCATTGTTTCGTTGCCGATGCGTCGATCTTCGCAATGAAAAAGTTGATAATGAAGGTTTCACCACTGTCAACCTGGCTAACAACGCATACAAGGATGAACCGTTCATTCTCGCCAAACAAGTTGTTCAAGTCTTCTACATAGTTGACCCATGTAACAAGAAACTACGTGTTGTTCATGAAGGGAAAAGGAGAATTGTTGGATTGGACAATATTGCAGACGAGGATGATTACAACCAGCACGTCCACGGCATAGGTCAAGAAATACCTCTAGAAGAGGAAGAAGAAGAAGATGACGTTCAACATGCACGCGTCGACTATGAGGAAGGATTATTTTTGTAATTTATGTATGTAGTTTATATCTACATGTCTGTTATCTGTATGACTCTAATATGTTCGCAATGATCAATAGTATATTGCTTATGAAATATTCAAATAAAATAATTAAGTGAAGCACCCACTAGAAGCGAAATAAAATAATTAAGCAAGTATAACCACTGGAAATAAAATAAAAAAATTAGTAAAATAATAAAGTACAATTACTACTGTTAGTGAAATAAAATAATTAAGTAAAACAAAATATGTAGTGTATGTGGAAATATATTAAAGGAAAATAAAAGAACTAAGTGAAATAAAATAAAATATTGTAGGCAAACTCACCTGTGACGTGCTCTAACTATGGGGCCGTCACAGGTGACATCACCTGTGACGGCCCAGAGTGTCACCTGT